TGACTTCAAAGAAATATTTTATTTTGCTTTCCCTCTCCTTTTAGAAAGATCATTTTTTTTGATCTGATGAAATTAGTTCAACTCAAAAGGCTTTCTCTTAAAAAAGGGACAGACTTTTTTCTTTTATATTCTCTAGGTTCTCTATTTCTTCTGAGACTGGTAATCACCTTTACTTACTACAATACTATATGAAAAAGTCTTAAAGGAAGAAAATATGAAATAGGGAGCGATGATAAATGTGTTCTAAAAATTTGATTATCAATAACTAAAAGTCACTCTAAGGATAAAGAACTCCAGGAACTCTGTCTACTAAAATTCTTGGCACTGTGACATTTAGGATATATTTTCTGTGCATCGACTGTGCACAAGACAGCTTTTCTCTGATGATTGTATGCTTAGTAGGGGAGATAAGCATGTAAAGCCTCTTCGAAGTCAAACGTCTTCGAAGTTTTATGTGCTCCCATAGGGCCTAAAATATGCGCCTGTTATGGTACTGACCTTATTGTAAACACTTTGAGGGGCAAGTTACATCTCATTCACTTAGAATAGTGTCTAGGGGCACCTGGGTGGCTCAGTGGGTTAAGTGTCCCTTTTTTGATTTTGGCTCAGGTCATAACCTCCCGATTCATGAGTTCAAGCCCTTCCTTGGAGTCTGTGCTGATAGTGTGGAGCCTGATTGGGATTCTCTCTTTCACCCTCTCTCTCTGCCCCTCCCTTGCTTGCATACTCTCTGTCTCTCTCAAAAATAAGTAAGCTTTTGGGGCACTTCGGTGACTCAGTTGGTTAGAAGTTCCACTTCAGCTCAGGTCATGATCTCACGGTTTGTGGGTTTGAGCCCCGCATTGGGCTCTGTGCTGACAGCTCGGAGCCCGGAGCCTGCCTCAGATTCTGTGTCTCCCTCTCTCTCTGCCCCTCCCCTGCTAGTTCTCTGTCTCTCCTTCTCTCAAAAATAAATAAACATTAAAAAAAGAAAATAGAAATTTTAAAAAAAAAAGAATAGTATCTAAAACACAGTAGCTACTTAATGAGTATCTGTAGAATGAAGAGGGAGGATGGATGGTATCCATAAGGAAGGTGGAAGAAAAGCTTTTCAGAGAAGTAATATGATATGCAATACATAATCAGAAAGACTTAGAAAACTGTGGTTGAGAAATCAGCACATAGTTCAGTTTGGTTAAATATTATGTGTGAAGGCACTATTGGAAGCTACACTTGAAAAGATAGAATAGGTAGGATTTCACAAGTCATTGTCAAGATGAAGGGCTAGTGGATGATCTCTGGAGTTTGGAGTCTGGAGTTCATCTTAAATGATGAACATGGTTCTGATCTTAAACTGAAATTGAAAGGAAAACGGGTTTAAGAAAGAAGGACAATAAGTGATGTTGAACATCTTTTCATGTGTCTGTTGTCCATGAGCATGTCTTCTTTGGAAAAATGTCTGTTTAGGTCTTCTGCCCATTTTTTAATAAGTTGGGTTTTTTCTTGGTGTTGAGTTGTATAAGTTCTCTATGTAGTTTGGATATTAACCTTTTTATTGGATATATCATTTGCAGATATCTTCTCCCATTCAGTGGGTTGCCTTTTTGTTTTGTTGATAGTTTCCTTTGCTGAGCAGGAGCCTTTCATTCTGGAGTGTCCCAATAGCTGGTTTCATTTTTATTTCTCTTGCCTGAGGAGACATGTCTAGAAAAATGTTTCTACAGCCAATGTCAAAGGTATTACTTACTGCCCATGTTTTCTTCTAGGAGTATTATAGTTTCAGGTGTCACGTTTAGATCTTTAATCCATTTTGAATTTATTTTTGTATATAGTGTAAGAAGGTGGTCCAGTTTCATTCATTTGCATGTAGCTGTCCAGTTTTCCCAGCACCATTTGTTGAAGAGGCTGTCTTTTCCCATTGTATCTTACTGCCTCCTTTGTAATAGATTAATTGAATATATAGGCATGGCTTCCTTTCTGGGCTCTCTATCCTGTTCTCCTGATCTATGTGTCTGTTTTTGTTCTCTAGCACCCTACTGTTTTGATTACCGAAGCTTTACGGTATAATTTGATATCTGGGATTGTGATATCTCTAGCTTTGCTTCCCCTTCTCAAGATTGCTTTGGATATTTGAGGTCTTTTGGTGGTTCCATACACATTTTAGGATTATTTGTTTTAGTTCTCTGAAAAATGTTATTGGTGTTTTGATAGGGATTGACTTAAATCTGTAGATTGCACTATTCATCAGGGAAATGCAAATTAAAACCATGAGATACCACTTTACACCTGTCAGAAGGCTAAAATCAAAATCACAGGAAATAAAAAACTTTAACAAGGATGTGGAGAAAAAGGAACCCTTGTGCACTTTTAGTGGGAATGCAAACTGATATGGCCAGTGTGGAAAACAGTATGGAGGTTCCTCAAAAAATAAAAGCAAAATTTTTATATGATCCAGTAATTGCACTAGTGGGTATTTACCTGAAGAAAAAAAAAAACTAGTTTGAAAAAATAGATACACCCCTATGTTTATTGCAGCATTGTTTATAGTAGCTAAGAGGGGCACCTGGGTGGGTCAGTCAGTTAAGAATTTGACTCTTGATTTAGGCTCAGGTCATGATCTCACGGTTTGTGAGTTCAAGTCACACACCGGGTTCTGTGCTGACAGTGCAGAGCCTGCCTAGGATTCTTTCTCTTCCCCCTCGCTGTCCCTTCTCTCTATCTCTCAAAAATAAATAAATAATCTTAAAAAAAAAACTATGAAAGAAAACAAGGAGTACAATAGCCAAGATATGGAAGCAACCCAAGCGTCCATGGAGAGATGAATGAATAGATAAAGAGGTGGTGTGTATATATATATATATATATATATACACACACACACACACACAATGGAAATATTACTAAGCCATACAATAGAATGAGATCATGCCATTTGATCAACATGGGGATGGATCTAGAGGGTATAATGATACAGCAAAATAAGTCAGTTGGAGAAAGACAAATACCATATGATTTCACTCATATCTGGAATTTAAGAAACAAAACAAGTAAACAAACAAAAAAAAGATATAAACAAAAAAACACTCTTAAATATAGAGAGCAAACTTGTGGTCACGAGAGGGGAGGTGGGTGGGGGCTGGGTGGAATAGGTAAATGATTAAGAATACACTCATCTTGATGAGCACTTAGTAATATGTAGAATTGATTAATCACTATACTGTGCTCCTTAAACTAATATAATTTTGTCTGTTAATTATACTTCCAGAAAAAAAAAGAGGAGATCATTCCATTGTGACAGATTGAGTTTGAGGTGCCAGTAGAACCTCCAGATGAAGATAAGGAAATCTAAGTGGAAACAGGATGAGAAGCTTAGGAGAGCCAGGTCGAGCCGGAGGAAAGACATTTGGCAGTCAGACTGCAGAAGTGGTTATGCAGCCAGGGATCAAATAAAATCGCTGAAGGGGAGAGGGAAGGGAGGAGAGCAGCAAGACGAGAATTGAAGATGAAATCTCAGGGCATGAGAAGGAGGTCTAACCAGAACATGAGACAGAGAGAGAGAGAGAGAAGGAACAGTGAGGGCCATGTGTCAAAGTGTCATGGCCTTGGAAGGTGTGCCTGGGGAGTGGCATGGGGCACAGGGTGTAGAAATGGCCTGAGCGGCTCCGTCAAGCATTGACTAAGGCTCTTGCTTTACCACCTGTTAGCTGCATTATCTACATCCGGTTACCTGAGCTCTTGGGTCCCAGTGTTGTTACCCCCAAGATGGGACTAACACCTCAGTAATTGCTGTGTTAATTTAGTTTTAAAAAGTATTCTTTAATAATACCTTAAAGTTACTCTTGTCTATTAGAAGAATAAGAGCCAATAAAATGGAAAACCTGGAGTTATCCGTATGTCTTATGTACATCAAGCAACTGTATTGCAAAATATGGTTTGTTTGTGTTTGTTGTTGTTGTTGTTTAGTTTATTTGTTTTGAGAGAAGGCACATGAGCCAGGGAGGGGCAGAGAGAGAGGGAGAGAAAGAATCCCAAAAGGTGAGCCCTACACAGGGGCTTGATCTCAGGAACTGTGAGATTATGACCTGAGACAAAGTTAAGAGTTGGTCATTTAAATGATTGAGCCACGCAGGTGCACCAGCAAAATATAGTATTTTAATTTTTTTAAAGAGAAAGAGAGGGAGAACATGATTTAGAGAGAGGGGTGGGGGGAAGGGAGACAGAGAGAGACAGAGACATAGAGAGACAGGGAGAGAGAGAGACAGAGAATGTTAAGCAGGCTCCACAGTCACACAGAGCCTGAAGCAGGATTTGATGTGGGACTTGACCCCACAACCCTGATCATGACCTGAGCTGAAATTGAGAGTCAAATGCTCAACCACTGAGCCACCCAGAAGCCCCAAAATATAGTATTTTAAAAATGTGTCATGTCATCAGTATAATGTTGAAGACTTAGGAATTTCTGAATTACAAAGGAATACACTTGTCTTTTGCCCATCCATTTCTGAGTAAAGCCCTTGGAATTTAAGTATGTTCACTCTGTTTTATCAAGCTTAATTTTTTGAGCACCTGTTGTATGCCCAGCACTTTCCTAGCTCTTTTTACCAAGCTCCTCTTAAATAGGGTTTTTGGTTTCCAATTCTCAGGGTATTTAGTAAGATGTGTCTTCTTTAGGCATCACTAGTATTCTTAGCAACCCTAGGACCTTCAGCCTTTGAGGGAATCTTAAATTTATAGTGCATAAATTTTCATAGTACACAATCTCTTGTGATTTTCCCGGTACACTTTGTGGAAAATACCATAGTTTATTCTCTGTTTCTGGAAGAAGCAATATCATTATTATTTTCTTGGGAAGCATTTGAAAATTTTTATCTCAGAAAATATTATGCTGTATAAAATTAATTCTTCCATGTCTCAACATCATTAATAAAATGCATCTTAAGTGGCATTTTAATGTACTGCTACTTTCCCTTTTCATTAGGAAAAGAAACAATAAGAAACACTTTTCTTATCATTTTTATTAGGGTAACACATTAAGAAAAATACTCCTGAATCGCTACTTTAAAGGAGACTATGGAGTTGGTATCAATGGACATCTCTCTGGAACCTACAGCAAATCTACACAAGGGGGAGGTAAGACTGATCATTCCCCTCATTCTAGAATTCTTGTCACATGTCTTCATGCCGGTGCTATGCTGGCATTTTACTTAAAATAGCATAAATATAAAAAATTCACTTAAAAAGCTCTATTAAAAAACCTTTGTACAAAATTTTGCATTCATAAAACAAATGATTTGAACATGAAGACTAATTTTGCCCTTAGGCTCTGGAAAACACTAAACAATGTCATAATTTCTCTGTATGCAAATTAAGCACAAAAATAAAGCTAATTTTCTTTTCCTAAAAATATTTCCTATTAAGAAAAAAAACATTTAATTCCAGGTGTCATACATTCGATAGAAAGCTATGTTTTTATAAACTTTTGACATTTTTTTTAACCCAAGCTCCTATTATATTTAATGGGGAAGGGAAAACATTCCAATGATAAATATTCTTAAGGTCTAAGAATTCCAAAACATTGTATACTAATGATGTCTGTAATTAAGATTTACTTGTTTATTTTTCCTAATCACAGGGAGCTTTTCGGGACAAGATTCAGATAAGACGGGCATATCAATGTCAGATATTCAGTGTCTACTAGATAAAGAAGGTGCCTCTGAACTCGTCATTGATGTCATAGTGAACACCAAAAACGACAGAATTTTTTCAGAAGGCATTTTACTTGGCATCGCCTTGCTCGAAGGAGGAAATACACAAACTCAGGTACCTGTTTATCATGATGAGCATTATGTTGGTTATTTGTATTTCTTATTTACTTATCATAGAAACCAAAGAAGGTAGTGTCTGTTTCTCTTAGCTCCTCATGGCTATCTTAAAAAAAAAAAAAAAAACCTAACAACTTTCACATTTTCCTTACAAATCTATTTGATTTACTGTAGAAACTACAGACCTTCACAAATGGCTCAGTGAAGCAGAGCATTCCTTAGAAGCATCTTTTCTAACATCATATCAGAAATTCTGATTTGTTGAGGGAAACTTGTGGCCTACGTTCAGCAGAGAAAAACATTTGGACTCATCTAAGAATTAAATGTAAAAATCAATAGATCTGTCCATTCAATGAGCTAGTATGTATCAACACCTCACACAGTATTTGGCAGTAAACAGGTTTCAGTAACATTGACCACCCCTCTCTGCCCATCCTCTTCCATTTACTTTTCTAGAAGTTTGGAATAGCACCTTTACTTGATGCCCCAAATCTCCCAGTGCTTATTACCCTGATGCTGCCGACTAAGTGCATTCTCCCTGATCCAGGGAGAGAAGAACCATTTCATTCATTCATTTATCCTAGGAGAGGGGAGGTGAAAGCTGTTATCACCTGCACGCAAGGATCATCACCCATGCTTTCCCAAAAAGCACACACTTTTGGACTCCTCCACTCCCGAAGTTCAGAGCACACTGGGAGAGCCCAAGACCGAGCCGGGGGTGTTCCCGGAAGATGTGCGTCTTCCTCCTTGTCCTGCGCTCACCAAACCTGCTCTTTCCAGATTTGTCTTGGTTGGAGAAGGAAACTATGCTTACAGCTAATAGGAAATTGCAGAATCAACTTTTCCTGTTCCTGGCAAGTAGACGCCCTGTCTAATTGAAAGCTGGGATCTTTTCCTTTGTTAATCCACCAAATGCAACGAACAACAGAAATTTCTCCATGCCCAAGAGCAGGTGGCTTTAGGAATAAAAGCCTCATGAACAACAGATGTCACGGTGACCAAAAAGCATCTTCCAAGCACTGATCCCCTTAGTTGAAAAACAAACTTTGAAAATTCTTGTGGTAGTGAAGCTGCGGCACAAATTCTTCCGAGGGACGTGGGGGAAAGTGGGTGGTGGAGGGATTTATGTGGGTTTTCTTGGAAGTAGCCTTGTCTTCTACAACCAGATATTCAGTAGGGACTTTCTAAAGAAATTGTCTAGGCAACTACATAATGTGAGACGTAGATCATCCAGACAGTAGTGAAGGAATTTTTTTTCATCTTTAGATAGAAGCAATTCTTGCGATTAAAGCAAAGCACCTTCTAGAGTTCTGTTACTGGACCACGCAGGGTCATCAGATGAGGTAATCTTTCACCCTCCATACATATTTACGTCCTCATATTGCTGCTGAATAACTCAGCTTCTGCCAGAAGCTTCCTGTTCCACTTTAAAATTCTTCACAAGGTCTCTGCACCCCCAGATACCTTTTAGTCCCTTTTCACGTGATGTTTCTGTGGCAGTTGTCACTGGTGACTTTTTCTTTGATTTTAAAACCTTTTCTACTTAGGCCTTGGGACACCACCCTCTTCTCACCTCCTGCCATTTCTTCTTAGCCTTCTGTGTAAGCTCCTTTTGATTTACTTAACTCTTGAATCCTGCCATCTCCCAAGTTTCTTTGGACTCTCCTCTGTTTGTTTTGCTTGTTCCTTCAGCCTGACCTCATTCGTTTCTACATTGTAACTTCCACTGGATGCTGATGATTCTCCACTCCCTCTGTGCATGACTCGACTCTACATCCAGCTATCTTCCAGGAATATTTTGTGGGATGTTCCAAAGTACCTTAAACTCAACGTGTCCCAGACTGAATGCACTGTTATTCTCCATCCATCCACTGCCCTTCTTCCTTTGCCTGCCTCAGTGACTGGCAGTCCATCCACACAGACACCTGGCCAGAAGCTGAAAGCCCACCTTGACCCTCAGCCTACTCATCCTCAGTCCCTTCCTGAACATTTCATTGAATACCAACCTCTGCGATTCTGTCCTGTTAACGTGTCTCATATCCACACTCTGCTTTCAATCTCTGCATATCCTGCCCTCATTACTCATCCTTCCTATCTTTCCCTGGGTCTTCAGGAGGTATCCCTGATCCCAGTTTTGCGCTTCTCCAAATCATTCTACACTTTGCCTCCAAAGCTATCTTTCCAGAAAACATGTTTTTCTTCTGCTTAAAGTCAGTCCCTTGCCCTATAAAGACAAACTCACTAACACAGTCCATAAGATCCTTCATGATTTTATCGCTTCACATTTTCCCATTTTCCCTTCTTACTCCACCTCCTCCCTCCTCTGTCCTGTCTCCTGCACACCAGGTATACTAAGCTCTTTGTAGTTCCTCATCTGTGTCCTGTGATTTCTCTCACGTTGCTTTCTCCTCTAGGAGGACCCAACTCACGAGCTTCTCTTAGAGGACTTTTCTGATCCCATGTCCCACTGGGCAGCATTGTCCGGTGGTTACGACATGTCCCCGCGGTATCCTGCAGATGCCTTCAGTGGTATTTCTGCCACTTTATGGTGCCTTTTCATGTGTGCACCAGGCTCTGTCTAACAAATTATGAATCCTTAAAACTTGAGACCCCACATGGTTCATCTTTGGATCCTTTGTGTCTGACACCATGTCTGGCCCAATAAATGTTCAGGAGTGGTGGTCGTATGAATGAATGGTTTGAACCAGATTCTACCCCCTTCATAATGTCTTCCATATCTGGCACAGGCATTGACAACCACTCCTTTATCTGAGCTCCCATAATACTTGTTTCCTTAATGTTTATTTGGCACTCTGCCTATGCTACTTTGTTTTGCTGTTATTTGTATGACATTTTGTCTCTCCAGTTCAATCTCGTCTTTCTCAAAGTAGATCCTGTCCTGTCTCTGGCATTTGTGTACTTTATCGCCATTCAGCAAATATTTGTTGATGAAAAAGCATTAAATTATTTTTGTGTATGAAAGCCTTTATAAAAGATGGGTTATGACGATGTTATTTACCAGCCATCCCTTTTTTAGATTTGTCACTTATCTGTATCACTGTGTAACCCAGAGAGCTGCCTTGAGCTTCTGTCTCTGGAGGGTCTCACTGATGTCAACTTGAATCCTATTCCTTGCCCTTTAACAATCTAAAATCCACTTCTCCCCAAGACTCCTGTCAGTCTCCAGTGGGGTTGACATTCTCAGAGTGCTCTTAGGCACTAGTAACTTGACTCTCCCACTTCTGTAGTACTGGTGTAGGAATCTGCTTCCCTTCTTTATTTTATAGCCTCCGGGCCACCTAAGCCAATTTATATGTTTAAAGTATATTATTAAAGATTGGTTGAAGGGGAGGACGGGAAAGGTACTTCTGTTATAATTTCAAACTGAACACTAATAATAACAATAATGAAGATAATACCTGCTAAATACCAGCCACTGTTCTTAGTGCTTCATATGTACTAACTTGGTTAATTCTCACAACAACCGGTGGGGTAACATACATCATCTCATCTTACCAAGGAAGAATCTAAGGTAGACAGTTAAGCTCCTTATCGAGCTCACATGGCTAGTTACAGAAAGAGTCAGGACTCAAACCCATGCAGACTGGCTCCAGGATCAGTGCTCTTAACCACTATAAACATCTTTCTGAAATAACCTTCTACTTCCTGACTCCTGGAGTCAGGAAATTTCACCGGCTGATTCACCGTGTGTCGTTATCCTAAGCTTACTCCATCTCTAGTTCCTCACTTCATGTTCCTTCTCTAGTTTCCCCCATCCTTGTTGCGGGGAAAGTCTTTCCTCTCCCATATAGATCTGTTGATGCATCATCCTTGGTTCCTGAAAAAAAACTCAGAGTTTCCCCCATATACTCTGAAGCGTATGGAAACAGTTTGCTAATCAAAAACTGTATCTTTTACAAGTGACATCCTTATGCTGCCTGTTGAGATTATAGATGTATATATAAAATGTACTTTTTATTTTTATTAAAGTCATACTGTTCAGCTTCATAGTGCCCTGAGCTTAAAAAGGTGTAGTCTACATAAATGACTGATTATTATGAGCTTTATAAATTTAATGATTTAGAGACAGAGAATCTAGATTGAAATCCTAGCTCTAACACTTACTAGTTATGTAATATTGGGCAAATCATTTACCTTTACTAATCATTTACCTTTACTAAACTTATTGATCTAAAAATGGAAATAAGATTACTCTCTGTTAATCAGACAGTTGTACTGAAAGTATCAATGAGATCATGTTTTTCAAGGAGCTGAATAAATTATAAAACTCTGCTTTAATAGAACCACAAATTTCCTATAACTTCTTTATTAATATATTGGGAACTCCTTTCACCTTCTAACCCGGTTATATTGAAAATATTAGGATGTAAGCATCAGCTTAATTTGTGGGACTGTGGAGGTCTGTAAATGTTACATTTGTCCTTTGAATTAACGGAACCAGTTTGACTGTTACCCTGTAGTTGCTATGGTTACTGTGGCTTTTTGCCCTGCTTTCTTCAGGGGTTGCCAGCCTCCTGCTTAGAGCTTCCCCTCAGAGGTATGAAGCCGATTCCTCAGGCTTCGTAAATTGATCTGTACTCACACACTGCCCACTCTGAAAATTGTAGCACAGACATCCATTTCAAGACCTGATGTCATTAGAGTCTTACCTGCAAGTCCCAGGACCTAAGGGTCATGGTTCTAAGCATTCTTTTAAGAAAGCATATGTTTAGGAGCCAAACTCAACCAGAATTGGCTGTTTCCATTTACTGGATTATGGCTCATTGTACTTGATTAGGAAGTCATTATTTTTCACGTTTTCTTCACAGCATCTCTCATCAAGGTTACATAACTTTTGTTCAATCAGTGTAGTTACTAGAAGCATTATTTTCATAATTTATTTTTACTTTATCTCTATTGTATGTATTGTGTGCCTGTCCCATGATTTTCCCCATATTAGGAGCATGCTTTTCCCCACCCAGTACAAATTCTATTTTCTCTGGCGTATATCACCTTTCCCAACTCCTGGCTCTTCTGGATACTCCATAAGTCACGAAGCAGACAGTGATTAGGCAGATATTCTCAAGGCTTAGTATTTCTACCTCTCACTAAGACATATTTTATCATGTGTTGAGCCCTTTCAACATCATTATTCACTCTTCAAGCAGAATCCATTTTATGCATTTTATGGCAGGCTTGTCCTAGACCCCATGCAAAGCAATGTAGCTAATGAAGTACCAAAAAAACTTAGTGCCTATCTATCAGCGGGTTCCTGTGAGTGAGGCTGCCATGGTAACACATTCTAAATTAAATGTACTATAATTTAGATAAAGAGAAAAATAACTCTTTGTAACTCTGCATAAACCCACATTTTACAGGATGATCATTGGATCAGTGGCTGTTTTCCACTCTAGGTGACACACTTATGAGGGGAGGGATTGTGGTGACTTTTCCTTTTTGTCCTATGCCTCGTAGTAGCAAGGACCTGGAACGCAGTAGGCATTCAATAAATATGTATTGAATCAAGACATGAGTTTACAAAAATACAAAAATCAAGGCACTTTTTGCATACAACTTCTTACAGTGCACTTGTAACTTTTTAAAATAAAATAATCAGTGAGAGTGAATTAAGTAACAGGAAAATATATTGGATTTTAGTGGAAAGTGCTAAGCAAACACAAGCTATTATTAGTATATGTTAAATAGTACAGGAGTCTGGCAAAAGCTGCTAATTTATGAAATATGTGCTTTTATGCATAATGTTTATATTTATTTCAAGTATAAAAACACTATTTTTCTCCCCTTGGGTATTGATATCTTAAAATATGTTTTCTTGCAGTATTCTTTTTACCAGCAATTACATGAACAAAAAAAGTCAGAAAAATTCTTCAAAGTTCTGTATGACCGAATGAAGGCTGCTCAGAAAGAGATAAGATCGACAGTGACGGTTAATACCATAGACTTAGGTAACAAAAAAAGGGATGATGACAGCGACCTGATGACATCTGGTCCACGAATGAGAGGTAAAGAAATAATTGAGTACGTGGGGGAATAGAGAGGAAAGAACCTTTAGATCTCACTTATCTCTGTCATCTCACTTACCTCAGTCTCAGAATCCTATCTGTGATTCTGTTATGGAGCTCCATCCTTAAATTACTATGGCCATGGGGCTGACCTTGAGTAGCTCTGTAGGACCAAATTCAAACAAGGCATTATGAGAGGAACAAGCCACATTGAAAATGTCTGACATGCATGTGGGATGCATGGTAAAGAGCAACTGCCCCAAACTTTTGAGTGTTCATGAAACCCAAATCTTAAGAATAGAAGTTACAGCACCTTACTCTAATGAAAGATCCTTGGTATTTGGAATAACGAGTCGTCAGTGAAGCAACTACAAATCATACAAACATAACATTTGAAGTTTGGAGTATTTTTCCCACCTTCTTGTATTCAAGAATTCCCTTATTTTATATTTATCAGAAAGACATGGGCTCTTCTGAAATTGGCTAAACATTTAGATCTTTTTTTTTTTTAATGTCCTGTGCAAATTTAATTCTGTAGTTTCTACTTCAGATTATTTTGGGGGGAAATTGTTGCACCCCTTGTGAAATGTCTTTTAATTGAGTTGTTAGAGTATTTGGGTAGCTGGTTGTCTTGGTGTTTAATTAGCAAAAGGATGCTAATTCTGAAATATAAGAGTACTGTTTTATTTCAGTAAGAGATTCATCATTACTTTTAAAAGAGGGAATGAAAGGTCAATTAACAGAAGCTTCTTCGGCAACCTCCAAAGCATACTGTGTGTACAGAAGAGAAATGGATCCAGAAATAGATATGATGTGTGCAGGATCGGAAGCGGGAAATGCCGAGGAAAAGTCTGCCGAGGAAGTAACCATGAGTCCTGCAATTACCATCATGCAGCCCATACTGAGGTTTCTGCAGTTGCTATGTGAAAATCACAACCGGGAGCTGCAGGTATTTGTCCTATTTTGTGTAAGAGTTGAGAATACAACCTGTGATTGTAGGTAACTAAATTCCAATAAAACTAATGTGTAATTTTGGAGAGATAAGTGATAAAACCAATAGTGCTCTTCTGAGTCGGGAAGAAACTTTTGCATCTAAATGAAGGAAAATGAGGGGAAAATTCCTTTACGTGTGAAAAAATCAGGCTCATACAGTATCAACCTTTGCATCCTCAACTCACGTCTGTTTAGCCTCAGCATCATCTATTCCTAATATTCTGATATTTGTTGAGTAAGGTCACATTTGCCTCATCTATATCCCTCATGGTTTTACAGATACAGGGGCTTTCATCATTTCCATATCAATTCATATATCTTGAGTGAGGATACAGAGTATATTTATATGCCTTCATTAGAAACAGTTAATATAGAAGAGGATTTTTTAAAAATTTTAATGTTTTATTTATTTTTGAGAGAGAGAGAGAGACAGCATGTGCAGGGGAGGGTCCGAGAGAGAGGGAGACACAGAATCTGAAACAGGCTCCAGGCTCTGAGCTGTCAGCACAGTGCTCCGACGCGGGGCTCGAGCCCACAGACTGTGAGATCATGACCTGAGCTGAAGTTGAACACTTAACCGACTGAGCCACCTAGGAGTGCCTCCCCCACTTTTTTTTTGAGAAGAGGATTTTTTAGGACAGTAGAGGTTGATACCTTTGTAGATGAATATGGTCCCAGTCTTATATCTTCTTTGGTACATTTTTCTTTGTCAAATAGGTGGACTTAGGGGTGCTTAGGAATTTTGGCCTTTTGGTTTTTTTGCATCGTTGGTGCATACTGCTTATGTCAACATGGCATAATCACATGAAAGATGAAATAATCTCTAACAGCACCTGTTCAAGGATCAGAGAGAGCAGAGTTTGAAGTTGTGTTCTCTAATAAGAGCCTAGAGTGCAGGTGTTCTGAATTGAAAAGAGATAATAGACTCATGTAAATTGAATTAAATATCTTTTAAGAAGAGGAGAAGTTCAGGAATTAATGAGTGGCAGAAGCACAGAGTCTCATGGACCACACCGTGGAGAGAGCTGCTGCAGACTTGTGTCAGGCAGAGGCCAGAGTATTACTTACAGAGGGAAGATACTGGATATGTGCCCACATGCATATGCTGATCCACTTGGTCTGTCCATGTAGTGGATAGATACATAGTATCTGATCAAATATTTTTCTAATAGGAGTGTGGGATCAAACAATTTAGAAAATGCTACTTATAAAAAAAACCTTTGTTTTAACAGGATAAATGGTAGAATGATTCACAATAGCTAATATGTAGAATTAACCCAATGTCCATCAACAGATAGACCTATGAAATGTGGTATATGCATGCAATGGAATATTTTTCAACCTTAAAAAGGAAGAAAATTATGACATATGCTGCAACATCTATTACCCTTGAGAGATTATGCCAAGTGACATGAATCAGTCACAAAAGACAAATAGTGTGTGATTCTATTTATATGACATATTTAGAGTAGTCAAAATGACAGAGACAGAAAGTAGAGTAGTGGTTGCCAGAGGAAGAGGGAGGGGAGAATTGGATGTTAATACGTATAGAGTTTCAGTTTTACAAGATGAAAAGAGCTCTAGAAATGGATGATGGTGACCATAGCTCAACATAATGAATATATTTAATACCACTGAACTATACAGTTAAAAATGTTTAAGATGGTAAATTTTATATCTATTTTGCCACAGTAAAAAATTGGGGAAAAATCACAAAACAAGCCTAAACAAAGATAAGTGGTAGGAATAAATTCAAATAAGTAAATTAAATAATAAATCAATAAAAATAACTGATAAATAAAAATAATACTTTCCCTCTCTGTGTCCCCTTTCACCAGGTTTACTTCCCCAAAGAAATTACATTAACAGGTTATACTTCTTTCCAGAAATTTCTATGTACATAGAAGCATATTGATCTGCACATGTAAACTTTAAAAAAAAAAAAACAGAATATATATTGTTCCTCAAGTTACTTTTTTCCATTTAGTAATACACCTTATTACTAAATTATCACTAGATTATGTTTATATCAGTATATATTGAAGTACCTCATTTTTATAGCTTTGCAATATTCCAGTGTTTGATGTACTATTATTTGTTAAACCAGTCATATTATGATAGGTATGGTATGGTTTCCAGTTTTTGCTATTAACAAGCAGTGTGCAGGGAACCTCTCTGTAGTCTTAGGTGCATGTGTAATATGTATGTGTGTGTGTGTAATATATGTGTGTGTGTATATACACACACACATAAACTTAGGAAGTAGGATTGTACGTTAACTGAAATTTTTAATACATGCTTCTAAGTTGCCCTCCATAATGGTTGAACCATCCACTGTTTGAAACTGTACTGTTTATACGGGATCATTTACTTGAAAATTTGATAGCTTCTTTCCCTAAAGAACTTCTTTCTAGTTTCTTTTTCCCTTTTCCTTTTCCTATTACTTGCTTGTTGGTTTCTTTTTGCTGTGTCCATATAGTTTGAATAATGACATTGAGAAATGTTTGTTATGAGACTATACTGATCAATTTAAATTCTTGAGGAAAAAACTTAAGAGTCTTTTTCTTAAACCTAGGGGAAATTTAATAAATGTGAACACTTTCTTATAAAAAGCAATTCCATTCCACATTGCTATGGGGATATTTTTGAGTTAGGAAAACACACACAGTGAGAGAGCTGAAAACAATTAGCACAGTGATTTCTTTTAACCCCTCAGGTATATTTTCTTTTGCCTTCAGAACTTCTTGAGGAATCAAAACAACAAAACAAATTATAACCTCGTCTGTGAGACCCTTCAGTTTTTGGACTGCATTTGTGGAAGTACCACGGGTGGCCTGGGACTTTTGGGTCTTTACATCAATGAGAAGAATGTTGTGCTGGTCAACCAGACTCTGGAGAGCTTGACGGAGTATTGCCAGGGACCATGCCATGAAAATCAGGTAACCATGAAAGTGGTTCTTCACGCAAAAATATTCATGACTAATTAGCAAAAGGATCAAATTGGTGAAGGAGCCAACCTTTGTCTACATTTAAAAGATCTTTCTTCTTGCTTTGCCAGATATTTTTACTTTTCTCACAAAACATACAAAGGCTGAATTATAGACGAGCAAATACTATGCCATATTTCTATTTAATTTCATCGTAAAAGAAATTTCCCATGAAAATGTTCCAGATAAAAATCAGACCTACTGAAGAGTACAATGTGTTTCTTCATCGTTGCTCAGTTTTCATCTTTAGTGATTCTTTTCCAGGATTTGTAGAACACACTCTCTTTGGCTTCTTCCACTCCACTAGAGTGGGTAGTATATATTTTCTCCTTTATATTCACAAAATTATGAACTAGGTCTTTTTGCTCCCATTTGTGGATGAATAGGTTCTGACTCAGAGATTTAGTGATGTTCTTTTGTCTCAGAGTGACAGAATCAGTATTGTAGAGCTGTTCTTAAAGCTCAGGATTTTGACTGAATCTAAATAGAGTGCTTTTTTGACTGTATTACCCCTTCGAGGGTGAAATTTTACCTCTCTCGTCCAGAATGTTGCCTGATTCCATTTTCTTGGATATCAAGGACACACTGTGGGAGTAGAAGATAGGACACTTGAACTAGTATAGGGAGGAGAGCCACCCTAGAGTTTAATAATTGACTGTTCACATCCACTTAAGAATTATGGGGCTACCATTACAAACATGGGTTCACCCTGGAAGAAAACGTTTTCAGGTTGTAAACATCTTTGGGTATAAGCTTTAAAGAACCCATTGAGATGAAACATCAGTGCATAATATAGAAAAGAAGTGTGGAAAAAAATGTGCTGCTTTTCTATTGCAAATTATATGACATATGCACAAAAAATGCATAAACATGTGCACACACGTATACATACATACAGAGGTATGCTGATAATTGCTGACATAAAGAATTCATTGTGAGGGTGCTCCTTTCCCCTCTGCAATGTACATGTTACATGGTAAAGGACTTTGCAGATTTTGTCATGGACACGTATTATATTTCAGTTTCCTAGGGTAATGATATAAGAAAACTGAAGTATTGATTTAAAGTTAAGGAAAAATACATAAATTTAGAGATTTGGTCTTATCATTGGTGAAAACATGTATATCTATAATGCCCAACACATATTCCCCACTTTTGGTCTTAAAATGGATGAAATTGAGTCTTGAAAATACTTTATTAAATCTGGTAAGCTCTAAAAGTTAAAACTAATAATAAAATAATTTAGTAAAACAATAATAAGTAATGATAATAAACATGAATCCCATATACTCTAAAAATATACTTACTTTGAACCCCATGCTTTGAAAATATGCAAAAGGAAAGTTGCCAGAAAATTCCAGAAATGATCTGCAAATCAATTCCCTCTAAGTTTAGCAAGTGTCTTAATGATCAGAACCTCAGGAAATGTAGACGATTGATGGAGGACACCTTTCCTTTGTGTCAGGGGAATAAAAAATTTTTTGTGCAAAGAGAGAAATGAAGGCCACTCTGAAAAATAGCAGTCATTTCAGAACTACCTCGATTTTACTCTTTCTCATTTAACCCCCCTGAGTTTCCATCTTTCAACCCCCTAGACACTGGGTACTGCATTATATAACATGTAATTCTACAAACTCCATCCCACAGGTTTCTGATGTTCAAGTTCTCTAAACGGAATTAAGTTCAGGATCCTGGCTCAATAGACCCTAAACTTCAAAATACTGATGTTTATCTCTCAGGATGTTTTATAAACTTTCCCCAAGTAGATCCCTCTATGAATCACTCAGATTTCAGGAAACTGCAGAACTTCAGTTAACCACTGTCATGGACAGGATGTCCCTAGAACATTAGAAGACACCTGTATTCCTTGTCTGCTGCCACCCAGCACTTGCAGCAGTGCCTTTTGTGACTCACTTAGTACTAAGTACCAGCTAAATTGATATCTACATCAGTACAAACTTCAGGCATATCATGAACACTCCTTTAATAAATGGGAATATTCTCCTAGCCAGGAGAAATCAGGTCTTAAAATTCCAAATTTAAGGCACTTCTCTATTGGAGGGAATATTAAAATTTGTTGGTTGAAAGAGTATTTAACTTAATTTTTGAAATTCTTTGAAAGTCTATAAAAGTGGTTCATTTTAAAAGATACCTGGGGCCCCTGGGTGAGTTCATAATAATAAATAGAGTGCTCCTTTTGGGTGAGTTCAGTTGGGTAAGTGTTCCTCTTGATTTCAGCTCAGGTCATGATCTCACAGTTGTGAGATCAAGTCCTGCACCGGGCTCTGTGCGTACAGCGCGGAGTCTGCTTGGGATTCTCTCTTTCCCTCTCTCTGCTCCTCCTCATTCACTCTTTCTTTCTCTTAAAATAAATAAGCATTTTAAAAACAAAAGATGCCTGTTACACACTGTCTTTTTCAGTGTTCTGCGTTCAAAAACACTTAATCAATACTATTAATACTATTTAATTAGAATTAAAAGATTCTAATATAAAAGAACAAATAAAACTTAAATCCTTGACTTAATCTCAAAGTTAAAACTTAATTATATTTAAAGATATATTTAAATTATATATTTAATATATTATATTTTAATATATATATTTAAGTTATTTATATAAACTTAAAACTACGATGACTGTTATTTTATGTCAGATAATTTCTAGTACCTTTATGTTATAAATAAAATGTTGTTTACAAACATTTTGCTTTCTAGACGTGTATTGCTACTCATGAATCAAATGGGATTGATATCATCATTGCTTTGATTCTAAATGACATAAACCCTCTCGGTAAATATCGAATGGATCTGGTGCTCCAACTAAAGGTAGAGTGAATCCACAATTTGGGGGTGGGGGAGTGAGGAGTGACATTTTCTATATAAAACTTGCTTTCTGAATTGATTCTGAATCTTCAAGTAGCTCTTGTAAAACCCCAGATATTATCCTATTTTCAGCTAATGAATTGACAGAAAGATATAGTAAAAGCACAATGTGCACTAAATTCCTAATGAAACGTCCAACAAGCTTGGATACAATGTTCATTTGGAGGGTACTTTATTGCAAGGTCTTTTAAGTAGCCACTTTGTTTCACTACTTCTCTTTGTTTTTATTTTATATATATTTTTTATTATATAGAGGAACAGAAGGTGTTAAAAATTCATCATGCCATGTATTTTTAATTCAGCTTGACTACAGAATTCTATCTAGCAAGTCACAATGAATTGGACTATGTAAAAAAAGGGGGGGGGGGGCTGCATTCTAGTTTTATGGCTGTCTTCTTTCTAAAAGTTATTTACTTTTACATCAGAATCTTATTTTTTCCCCAAATACTATGAGCTATTTTCACACTCCCTGTGAGAAGCTGCCTTAACTTAAGCTGTGCACATACTTCCCAGCAGTTCCATTTATCAGAGCTCAGGAACAAAATGGCATTTAAATTTTTTTCTTCAAGTTTTTGCCAAATGGAAATAGACAAATGAATATACACAAGAAATATAAATCCCAAATCCAAAAGCATGATATTCAATAGAGATGAATTATTAAAGATCACATTATTATGTTTAGTGTTAAAGTGTAAAAAAAACACAAAAAACGTTGGATATAATTTTTCTGTAAAGACAGGTCTACCCAGTATCACAGCAAATATAATAAAGTTAAACTTTGTATAGGTAAATTTATGACGAGGAAGAATAGGAATGACATTTTTATAATTTTGTTTCTTTTTTCTTTAAAAAAATTTAGCATTTTTATTTATTTTTGAGAGACAGAGGGAAACAGAGCATGAGTGGGGAAGGGTGAGAGAGAGAGGGAAACACAGAATTCATGAAGCAGACTCCTGGCTCTGAGCTGTCAGCACAGAGCCCAACAGAGGGCTTGAACCTATGAACTGCTAGATCATGACCTGAGCGCGAGTCGACACTTAACCGACTGAGCCACCCAGGCGCCCCTATAATTTTGTTTCTAAATGTAGATTTAGATATATAATGGAATCATATGTTGTGCTTATGTGAAGATTGTGCTAGAGGCTCCGAATAAGCAAATGTTTCTTTTCACAGACAAGGTGAATTTGTATTTTTTCACTGTTTTCATTGGCAGTATGTATAAGTATAAGCCTTAGGTCTTTCTGTTCATAGAATAGAATGAAGATGATCCTTACATAGATTGAACTTGTATCCTTTTCTTCATTAACATCATACTTTAGTTAATGAAGCCAACCTAGGCCCATAATAGCTTGGTTTGAGTTACGAGAAAAATGTTTATTTCATCTTATATTCATCTTTAATCATAATTCATAAAAAACAACATACAGAAGCCTTGACCTTCAGCTTTTAAAATCCTTTATTGGCCTAAGAACTATACCTTTAAATCTCATTTTTAATTGATGTAACTTAATGGGGGGAAATACTGAGTGGTTCATCAATTTAGAACAAAGTATAGGCATATAGATTACTTACAAACCCAGACCTATGTAAAAAAACTAAATGACAGTGTATTACTTAGCAGTATATAGATATGTTTAGCTGTTTAAATGAAAATGGTTTTTTTGAAAATGGATTATTTAAAATGTCCTTTATGTTACTAAGCATTATTATATATATCTTTTCAAAATATGACAATTGGCTGAATCAAACTATATACAAAATACCAGAGGAATGGATTTAACTTGAAATATTTAAAATATAGTCTTCTGCTTCAAGAACAAGGCATTTATAACTTTTCAAGCAATCTATGAAGCTGTGTATACAATGGTCAATATGAGAACAATGTTTTTAAGGTAGAATAATACATATTGGCCTTTTTTAGGGGACCTCCATGGATAGAATGCTTTCAATTATAAATTCTCCATAACATTATAGAGTATGCCATATTTCAAATGCTGAATTAAGGTTTATTTTATATCACTCATTCTTAAATTTAACTGTTTATTTATAATTTTAACTGTACTTAATTTTATATACTCACTATACAAGTTTTTGAATTTTTAATGCATATGTCTTGTCCTTTCATTTTTAATTTATATTTCATAGCTGATTTGTGACTGTAAAGTGTTGAATTTGTAAATAGGTAGTTTTTGAATAAAGGTCCCTAACTCCCTTTGGAAGAAAATCTTCTGTTAACGCCGACACACACATTTGATTTCTTAGTGTATATAGGCTCTTGTACTTTCAAGTTGACTCAGATTTCAGTAGGTCATTTACAAAACTTCCATTCTTCCAACATAGTATAAAAAGAAAATTGGTTGGAAAAAAAATCATCTTGCTAAGGGTATTCTGAAATTGGATGTATTTTAAGCTATTATGTATTGGGCCTGCTAAGTAAAGTTCATTAGAGAATACTGTGAGTGTTACCAAGGTTTTAGCTTTAAATTCTGTAAGATCAGTTCAGATTTCTCTGAGGATCTAAGCTCTCCACTAATCCTGGAGCCTTATTTATTTATTTTTTTTAAGATATGTTGTTTGTATAGGATGCTAGATTATAAAAATGGATTTTAGGATTGGTACAAATCTGTAAAAACTGAAAATGGAACAGAAAAAAATAAAGCCACTTCCCTTACAAAATCCTAAAGCTTTTCCAGGACATCACTACCATCATCATCAGACATCATTGCTACTAAAATTAGTCATTTAAAGACAGTCTTTAGGCTATACTTCTGAAAGAAAAAAAATAGTTGGAGACAAGTTAGTGTTAAAATACTCAGTAAAATTAATTTGTATAAAATTAACAAAATTTATATAGTGAATGTCTATATACATCAAGCAACTGATTCAGTTCAAGTTTTTATCCTGTAAGATGTTAATTTTGACTCACTGAAAAACATCTTAAAGCCGTTTGACTCTACTTCTCTTGTGCTCCTATCAAAGATTGTGTGTGGAGGTTGAGATTTTTATCTAAATAAATATTGCGGAAACACTGTAGAAATATCTCCCAGGTGGTTTTTATCATTTCACAGTCAGCCACAATTCTGGAGCTGTGCTATTGAAAACAGTGTAAAGAAACATCTTCCCACATGTTGAGGATATTGTGCTTTGTGTAATAAGACTTTCTATAATTCTTTGGATCATAAATCAACTATATCAGAAACATTTTTGCAGTCTTCAGGTCAAATGTTTGAGAATATGTATTTATAAACCAAATTAGAAACATCAAAGACAATGTAAACTAGTTTTAGTCTCTATTAAACAAAATTAGAAAATATTATTCTTCTACAACCCAGATGATAAGCATGTTGCATAAATACTGCCATAGGGTGAGACCAAAAAACTATTATCAATAAATATCCATTTTACTTCTAACTCATAAATTTAGAATTTTATAGATTAATTCTCAGTAATTATTGCTGAAATGTCTTTAAAATTTTGATATGCTAATATGTATTCATGTTTCATGCTACAAACTATTACACTAAGTTCTTTAAATTGTATGCCATTTCTGTAAAATACATCATTACTACTGGTTCACTTTACTGTCTTTTTAAAAATTTTTAAATGTTTATTTTTGAGAGAAAAAGAGAAAGAGCTGGGGAGGGACAGAGAGAGAGGGAAGGAGACACAAAATCCGAAGCAGGTTCCAGGCTCTGAGCTGTCAGTACAGAGCCTAATGCAGGCCTCCAGCTCACAAACCGTGAGATCATGACCTGAGCTAAAGCCAGATGAGCCACCCAGGCGCCCCTCACCTTGTTTAGTCTCATTAAAATGGCATCATGGCAATGCCTATTTAGAAAATGGTGAAGGAAAATATTATATTTTAATGCATTACATATAAAGTCAATTTTGTATTTAAAACACTCTTTCACCAATATTTAAAATATTCTTTGTAAGGTGTCTCTCATGATTCATTATTTTTATTATGTGTTGACTCTGAAATAAAGCATTCTATTTTATTTATGTATGTATGTATGAACGTATTTATTTATTTATTTATTTAAGAGAGAGAGAGAGAGAGAGAGAGCATATGAGTGCCCACATGCTTAAGTGAGCAAGGCGGGGGCAGAAGAAGAGGGAGAGAGCAAATCCTAAGCAAGCTCCATGCTCGGTGGATATGGGGCTCCATCTCATGACTGTGAGATCATGACCTGAGCGTAAATCAAGAGTTGGATGCTTCACTGACTGAGCCACCCAGGCGCCCCTAAAACATTCTATTTTAAAATGTTAGTTAGCCAAATGAAATTAGCAGTTTAAAATTGTGTTTGTTTTTTTAAAAAATGCTCCTGCTAATGTCAACTGAAACAAATGTAGGGATTGTTACTTCATGAAATAGGCTTTTCTTGTGCATTAACTGAATCTGTCTCTCTAGAACAATGCCTCCAAGCTCTTGCTGGCCATCATGGAAAGCAGACATGACAGCGAGAATGCGGAAAGAATTCTTTTTAACATGAGACCCAGGGAATTGGTAAGAAAACTTTTGAAATTATTCTAATAATGTGCATCCACAAAGGGACAAATTTGTAGTGTGCATGTCAGGAAAAGAGTCTAGTGACTTTTCACTGCTCTACCAAACATGACGGCATGTCACGACCTACCTTTACAAGTAACTCAGGAGGTCCCCTGATGCCAAATGCCTGTGTGATTTGGGTCCTTACTTCATTGGTTTTATCCACACTGAGTACTTTTTTTTTTTTTAGTTTATTTATTTATTTTGAATGAGAGGAACAGACAGAGTGCACAAACAGGGGAGGGGTAGAGAGAGAGGGAAAGAGAGAATCCCAAGCAGGCTCCAGGCTGTCAGTACAGAGCCCAATGTGGGGCTTAATCACACGAACTGCGAGTTCATGACCCGAGCCACAGCTAAGAGTCAGACACTTAACTGGCTGAGCCACCCAGATGCTCCTCTAAGTACTTTTCTTAATCAGATTGTCACAATATTACACTATCTACAAATTCTTTTTGCCAGAAAAAATAGTTCGCTTTAGTTTGTGTGTTGGAATATTTGAGAAAGATATGTAAAAAATGTTTTTCCTCGAAAATTTTGTCTGTATCTCTTTCTGAACAATAAGAATAAAACCAATACCTTCTGTACTTGTTTGTGTCATTGAAATACTACACCATGCTTGGCCTAAAGGAAATTATGTGAAAACTTGACCAGGGATTCCACAGAGAATCATTAGTGTGTCTTCTTATTTTAGAAGTTATACTTTCTTGGGGCACCTGGGTGGCTTAGTCGGTTAAGCGTCCGACTTTCGCTTAGGTCATGATCTCGCGGTTCGTGGGTTCGAGCCCCACGTCGGGCTCTGTGCTGACTGCCAGCTCAGAGCCTGGAGCCTGTTTCAGTCTGTGACCCCCTCTCTCTCTGACCCTCCCCTGCTCACACTGTCTCTCTCTCTCTCTCCTAGAAATAAATAAAACATTAAAAAAATTAAAAAAAAAAAGAAGTTATACTTTCTTCCTCGCTTATAACATGAAAATTCTGGAGGAATATCACATGCTTTAAGGGCCCTGGGCTTCTTTTTTAAATTTTAATTCCAGTATATTTCACATCCAGGGTTATATTGGTTCCAGGCGCACAACATAGTGATTCAACAATTCCATACATCACCCAGGGCTCTTCACGACAAGTGCGCTCCTTAATCCCCACCACCTATTTCACCCATCCCCCCACCCATCTCCTTTCTGGTAACCATCAGTTTGTTCCCTACAGTTAAGAGTCTGTTTCTTGGTTTGTCTCTCTCTTTTTGTCCTTGAAAGCATGGGGTTTCAAAAGCACTGAGAACATTCTCAAACCATATAACTCAGTGACCCCATGACTAAGTCCCAATCTTATGAGCACTACAAGGAGATCTTACGGAAGGCAGTCTTTTGCTCTCTGTTTAATAGTGAGGAATGAAGTTGAGGAGGGCAGATAAAGAAAAATGAAAGATACGGTTTTATTTAACATATATTTACGGAGAGCCTCCTATCTGTAATGTAGTGGACTAAGAGGAGCAAGACGTTTTCTATTCTTATGGTTAAATGGGACAAAGAATGACATGTTCATTCAGCAACAGCACTGTACAATAGCCCTCTGCCCACGGCACCCTTATCTCATCATCCACTTTTTCCTTGTGGCCCACCATCAGTTTCTTGCCTGAGTTCATGCCCCTACTGTGCTCACTCAGTGCCTCACACTTAGTGCTGCCATAGAACTGTCGTGTTCACCTCTTGATGTACCGACTCTCCCACTGGACAGTAAGTTTCTTGAGGGCATATACTGTGTTGTACCCACTGTTGAGTCCTCAGTACAGAGGATGACGTCCAATACCATTTGTCCCTGTACCTTGTGGAAGCTTAATAAATAATGGATGGGTCTCAGGGCTCCAGAGTTGCCTAACTCATTGGAACTTTGGCATTGTCAACATTCAGACATCAAAGCAAAAGTTTTCAAGGAAGACAGAAGATATTGTTCATGTTTATTTAAATAAAGATGATTTCCAAGGCCATTTTCATTTATAGTTCTTTTGTACTTTTCAAGTCTTAGGAAGTGTTCCAGTTTTTAATTGTATCTCGTAGACAATGTAAAATGCCTGTTGTTCCTATTTGTTTTTTTTGATAGGTGGACGTGATGAAGAACGCCTATAACCAAGGATTGGAATGTGACCATGGGGATGATGATGGAGGAGATGATGGTGTTTCCCCAAAGGATGTTGGGCACAATATCTATATTCTGGCCCATCAGGTATCACATTTTACATCTTGTATTCTTTTGCTAATCTTATCAGTTGTGTTTTGTGCCATGGCTTGTTATTTTCAAGTTCTGGTCCCTTCATTTCTTCAGCACCTGCCCCCTTGCTCTGGGCCAAGGAGAAGGAAATGCTCCCCGAATTCCCAGCTGTGTTCCCAGAGTTATGCTAGGGGCTGATCCACAAGAAAATGATACTTGCTGCCAAAAACTTCTGGGCCAGGAGGGAGGAGACAGTCCCAGGTCAGAGCCTGAAAAATAGGCAAACCATGGCAACAAATGGAAGTCTGAAGGAGAGAGGCGAAGAGGCTGAGAAGATAGTGTGAAGTAAGGGGGTGCCTTCAGGTCTAATCAGGATAAACCTTGCAGATGGCTTTTGGCCTCTTTGAGTTGTAGGTTGGCATGTTTCATACAGAAGTCATAAGTGGTTTCCATTGGACTTCTAACAGATACTGGGCTAAATTCTAAATTCTTTTAGAGGAACCATTTTGATTCTATAGTACCTCATGAAAATAGATGCTTGATAAGTATTATTTGATTAATTTAATTTTATTAACATGAAGATCAACTTGAAATCTGCATCTTCTAACACAGATTTGTTTAAAAGTTAAACATATTGAATGTACAATGCCAATTTGATTTTTTCCATAATGGTTTCTTCTTTTTTTTACAAGATAAAATCTAAACTTTGTGGACTTTCCCAATCTTTCTTTCCAGTCGTTTACTCATATTGTCAACCTCTCCCTCTTTCTTCTTCCCATATATCATTTCAGTTAATTGAATAGACATTGGTAGATATAAAGTAAGATCCTGAGTATATTTACTTACTTTTACTTTTTAAATTTTTCCAGTTTTATTGAGATATAATTGACATATACAGCACTGTGTAAATTTAAGGTGTTAAAAGATTACTCTTTAGATACTTCTTGCCCTTCTCTTCTTTGTATGTCTGATATATGTAAACTCAAGTATTTTTACAAAAGGTCTGGAGAGGAGTTGCATTCTAGGATATATTAACAAAAGAGGTTGCTCTGGTTTTTTAATACATTTCAATCACTTAGAAGATTTTTGGGTCTCTCCCAAAATGCATATATAGAATGGAAACAGTTAAGGGCAGATGGGTTATAGCTAGAAAGACAAAAGAAAATTTTATGTATTGAGAAGGACAGAATGAAGGACAAGTTGAAGGAAGTGAACACAGAGCTTTAGGATGCGGAAAAGGTATTGTTTTTGAGAGAAAGAGAAATTCAGATGACAGGAATTGAGTCAATCTAGAAAAGGAATGACTAAAGATTGAATGTGAATGGAAAGAAAAAAAATCACAGGCTGAGAATGAAAACCAAACTGGCTACTAGAATGAATAGAGAAACGTGATGGCCCGACATGGACAGTGTTTAGAAGGAAAACAACAAGGAAGAATGAGCCAGAGGGAACAGTGAAAATTTTAGAAGAAAATTTTAGAACAGAGCCCCCCATGTGTTCTTGACTGAAAGCTAATCTTGCTCTGTCTGGAGAGGCTGTCCCCTCTGCCTGCGTGAGCAACTACACAAACAAGCCCTAACCTTGAAGCCTTTCAGTGGGAAAGGAACAACCAGACCACCAAGTCAGCCTTGGAACCAGTAGAGTGGCAGCTGTTTGAACCAATCACCCATAATCATGAAGAGGAGGTTTTAAAATGTAACCTCAGATTACCAGTATGATGTGTGTAACAGTAAAAATGTCAAGGTCAAGAAGACACTCTTTTAGGTCAGTTCATTTTTAATCAGACTAAGGATAAGAGTAGAGAATACAAATTTTAAAAACAGGCTATGGAGAATATTGAAAAGAATGGATAATGATAATGAAGAATACAAGAGCTAGTCACAGATTGAAAGGTAATGATACAAAATATAAAAGGTGTAAAAAGTGAAGATTGCATAAGGGTCATGGTCTTGATGGGTTTAAGTTTATGGCAGTTCTTGAAGAGAACAGCTTAGATTTTAAAATTATGGTGGAGTTGTCCCAAAGTGGGAATTCAGGAGTAGTAAAAAAAAAAAAAAAGAAAAAAAAAGAAAAGAAAAAAAGGAGCAAGGGTATAAAATATAAAAACAACTTAATGAAACAAAGAGATAATGTTACAATGTGAAAATGGCTTGCATGGATATATAGAGGTTTGTCAATGCCACAAAACCAAAAATTTGCCGAACTGGAATGGTACAATGCAGAGATACATAAATGAAGCCAGATTTCAGGAAGAGGGAGTACATCACAAGAGTAAAGGGAAGCAGATTCTGAATTGCTGAACATAAATTGTTAAGAGTAAATATGAAATGAGAGTCCATGTGCATTCTTCTAGGAACTCAAAAGGGGGTAGGAATGACAAATGTATGGAACAGTATATGTAACTGACAGTGTAGAGTTAAGCAACTGTCCTCTTATTTATGTATAGTGGTGCAGAACATTGTTACTTTAGTACTTTTAAGTGTATTCTCTTGGGTGACTCTTCCCACCATCTTTTAATGAAAAATTCAGTTTTCCCTCATAGAAGAGAATCCACTGTGCTCTTTTGATCTTTCCACAAGTGACTCCTTCAGCTTTCTTTAGGCTTGGATGTTATATTTCTTCGGAAGCCAGCCACGGTTGTTGGGTGCATTATGAATCTGCTGTTCAAACAACTGCCACACCGAAGCACAAATGCAAAGAACAGGGGGTGTATACTTTCCTTCAGGAGTAGCCATGTGGCTCAGCTCCAGGGGTTTCATGGAGTCCAGATTTCTCTGCTTTCTTTGTGGACATGGAATTATTTGTCTCCTGAACGCTGATGACCATGCAGATTGGTTTCTGCCTTTGCACAGTTCAGTAATTCCAAAACCAACGTTCGACTTCCTCCTTGTTTTACTATAATCATCTTTTGTACAGACAGTTTATTTTGGTGCACTCAGACTTTCAATTTTTGTTGTTATTCTCTTCGTGGTAGTGAGGTAGTTCTGCTTTTCTGCCATGACATCCTTTTCGGCCCTTCCTGTGGTTGGTGTTACAAGAAACAAATAATGCTTCTTGTAAGTGTCTTGTCTGATCTACATAATACTATAAATACATCAAAAAGGGAATTTCTCAAGTTCAATACTATAGTGCGTGCAGAGAATTTCCTTAAAATTCAGCTATGTGCCCTTTTTGATTTTCCGTCCTTCACGTGTTCTCCTTACACATCTCTGCTTCTTCTTTCTCCTGTGGTCTTGTTCTTTTATATTTTACTTTCTTCCTGTTCCTTCTCCCCTTCATTCCTGTCTTTCTATAGAATAGTCATTGCCTGCAATCTAGGACATTCTTCAGTACTTTGTGTATGTGTAACATGTATTAAACCATATTGCTTTTCTGGTCCCATGTAGCAAATTCTGTTTTATCTCTCTGAAAAACCTTATTTTATTTTCCCCCAAGCTTTATTGAGATATAATTGACACATAACACTGTATAAGTTTGATGTGTTGATTTGGCATATTCATATATTGCAAAATGATTACCGCCACACCATTAGCTTCATCCCATTGTATCACTATTTCTTATTTGGTAAGAACATTTAAGGTATACTCTCTTGGCAACATTCAAGTATATGGTATAGTAAGTATTATTAACTATATTCACCAATCTGTACATTAGATCCTCGGAACTTGTTAATCTTACAACTGGACATTTATTTTTTTTATTTTTATTTTTTACAAATAGTTTATTGTCAAGTTGGTTTCCACATAACACCCAGTGCTCATCCCCACAAGTGCCCTCCTCCATGCCCATCCCCCCTCCCCCCCACATCCATCAGTCCTCAGTTTTTGTCAGCATTCAAGAGTCTCTCATGGTTTGCCTCTCTCCCTTTCCCCCACCATTTCCCCCCTTCTTCTCCCCCTTGGTCTTCCGTCAAGTTCCTCCTAATCCTCCTATACGTGCAAACATATGATATTTGTCCTTCTCTGCCTGACTTATTTCGCTCAGCATAACACCCTCAAGGTCCATCCATGTTGCTACACGGGGCCAGATTTCATTGTTTCTCATTGCCATGTAGTATTCCATAGTATAGATAAACCACATCTTCTGGATCCATTCGTCCGTTGATGGACACTGAGGTTCTTTCCCTGTTTTGGCTATTGTTGAGAGTGCTGCTATGAACATTGGGGGGCATGTGCTCCTATGCATCAGCATTTCTGTATCCCTTGGGTCAATTCCTAGCAGTGCTATTGCTGGGTCATAGGGGAGTTCTAGTGTTAGTTTCCTGAGGACCCTCCACACTGCTTTCCAGAGGGGCTGTACCACAACTGGACATTTATATCCTTTGACCAATACCTCTTTATTTCTCTCAGCCCCCACCCCTGGCAATCACATTTCCACTCTCTGTTTCTATGAGTTCCACATTTTTAGATTCCACATGTAAGAGATCATATGGTATTTGTCTTTCTCCAACTTATTTAATTAACTTAGCATAATGCCCTCAAAGTCCATCTAAGTTGTTGCAAACAGCAGGATTTCCCTTTTTCTTATATAGCTAAATAGTATTCCATTGTGTAAATATATATACCACGTCTTCTTTATGCATTCATTCATTTATGGATACTTAGGTTGTTTCCACATCTTGGCTGTTGTAAATAGTGCTGCAGTGAACATGTGAGACCTTCTATTTTAATACCTACTAGATCTAAGATTTATATGGAGTAAGTTCTTTATCATAAGGAAAGAGAGAATGGATCGTTATAACTGGCTATATGAAATTATTTTTAAAATATAGATTTTAAAAGTTTTAGTGAGCATTTCTCTATGTCACTAAATGGTCTTTGAAAACATAATTTTAATGTCTGGACAATCATCCATCATTTGAATGTACCATAATTTATTTAATCATTCCTATTGTGGGACATTTAGGTCTCTAATGTGTTGATATTATAAATTATGCTATGATTAACGTCCTCATACATTAATCTTTGTCTGCTACACTGATTACCTCCCTAGGATAAATTCCAAGAAGTTTAATT